GGTTTAGGGTTCAGGGTTGTTTTTTTTGAGCGCCTTTTTTGCTCTCTGCAGAACAAAGGGTCCCATAGGCCCAGGCGGTTGGTAGCCTCCTCCGAAAACCCTAGGACTTGCCGGCTTCCATGACAAGCTGATTAGTTATGAAAGCTTCTAGAACTGGCTGGCCATAAAGGCGCTGGATCTGCTCGGAGGTGAATCCCCCTGAGCACCAAGCCTGGAAAACACTTTGGCCCTCTTGACCCGTCATAAATGCTGCTAGCTCTTCTTCCGTATATGCCCCTGTACTGGCACCAATGCACTTGCACTACCCTCCGCACTCAGTTGCTTCTCAGGCGTCACCGGGCTCAGCTTTTCTGTGGAGCTCTGGCTACTACTGGCTTTGGTCTGCTCACCATGCATGCCCTTCTCTGCTTCCTCCTCCAGGACCGTCCACGTAAGCCCAATCGCAGTCGGCATGCCCGGCGTGATGTCAAAGTCCAAGCGCTTTGCCGGAGCGAGCTCACCCTGAACTTGGAGGTGCAGCACCATCTTTTGCTTCTTGGCCGGCCGTTCCCGTTGAGGACTCACAGAGTGCATAGATCGCCAGATCACCCAATCATCCCATTCTTGAGCATATTGGGCTTGCAAGGATTCATACCTTGCCTCATCTTCGCTTTCCTGGAGGGCTCTGTCACGTTCATACTCCATGAGCTCCATGTCCTGTCGCTCCTTTTCCCACGCCAGCCGATCCCTCTCTTCATCCATCTCCATCTGCCTTTTGACCTCCAACTCGTCCTCAACCATGCTGTCGATCTCCTGCTGCAACCGATCTGGCCCTGGTTCCCCTCCATCACTCTCTAGCGACTCGGTCACCGTCTCAGTAGCCACCTGCTGAACCAAGGTCTCCTTTTTCACACGTAGTTGGCGTTCTTCTTCCATGATAGGACCAATGAGTCTTTTCCGCCACTTTTCGCCCCATAGACGGTCTGCCACTGTTTCAGGCACCTCACTTTCCACCGCAGAGCTGCTATCGTCGAACGCCACTGCCGCAGCTTCCAGTGCCATTGCTCTTGTCCCCATAGACAACCTGCCTGATGCACAGCCATAGCGTTTCGCCAGCAAGCCTCTCAGCAACGACGATAGGGTTCAGGGTTTAGGGTTCAGGGTTTAGGTGTGGGAGAAAAAAGGGGTTCACTTAATAACGGGTTACAGGGGATATAACAAGCCTTTACACAGGAATATAGGAAGGTTTTCAAACAATCCGGATTCTAGTAAGCTGGGGACTGCTTTTGGAAACACCAATTAAGTGGAGGCTTATGTGAGTTGGATAGGATGAACGTGGTAGGCAGGGACTAGGGGTAGTGGGTGCAGGGGTTTGGTAATGGATAGCCGGGCGAGTTCCTAAATAACACCCGGAAAAAAAAATCCTGGCACTCTACGTCCCCGGTAGAGGAAGGTTTCTTGAGAATTGCGCAAGATCCTAAAGGGATCCAGAGTGCTTCTAGTGGCCAGTTCAGAATCATCTCGGAACCTCAAACTAAGCCAACTTGGGACCATACATAACCAAGCAGTTGGGGTCAGGATGGGTGTGGTCCTCTGAATTCTAACGCTCTACATGTGTTGTACGGGCGCCCGATGCTTCTTTGAGATTGAGTACGGACTTTCAAGCGAGTAAAGGATGATACACGGCTTCATACAGCAGGGCTCTGGTAGGGGGGAGTCGAGACCCCCGACCTAAGCCTACGCTCCAAACCCTGAGAACCTCAAACCCTGAACCCATGAACAAGCCCCCACACAATGCTCTAGGTTCTAAAGGCCCTAAACCCTAAACCCTAAAGGCTCAGATTAAAGAAGCTTAGAAGTACGTAGCTCTGTCAAGGGGGGGGGGGGGG